CCCCCCCCCCCCCCCCCCCTAGTATTTTACTGGAGAAATAGGAAGAAGATGGTGATAGCTAGCTAGGAGTCTGGAGTCTATTTAGACTAGATTAGGCAACAGCTTACATTATATGTAACTGCCAATAATGGCAGAATTTAATTTTGAAGAACCAAGCAATGAAAGGACTATCAAATAAATGTGGCACTTGTGTGTGTGTGTGTGTGTGTGTGTGAGAGAGAGAGAGAGAGAGAGAGAGAGAGAAGGTGGAATATTGAGTATGGAACAGACAAAGAGCAAGAATTTAAGCAATGGCCCCATGAGGAGTTGCTGTAACAAAATAAAGAAATAGCTAGCTGCTACCTATTCATGTAGAGTTACTTCTTTTGTATCCATTCTTATTCTAAGTTAGGTTCTAAAACAGCAACCATAAGGACCATAACTTTAGCCATATCCTCACCAACCCCCTAGCCCCTAGTGATTTGGGCTATGGGGTAGTTTCTTAATCTACAAGTCATCTTATGAGCATTTTAAAAAAAATAAAAATAATAAGCAAGAAATATGCTTACTTCTCATAATATTTACTAATTTCGTCAGCTTGGAATTCACGAGTTTGAATAAAAACTTATTAACTAGTGCCATGGCCTAATGGTTGACGACTTCAAAACTTGTTTGCTAAATTTCTGGATCCGTCTATGCTCCTGTTTAGGCCGTCTGGCCCATGTAACCCAATAAAAAAATATCCCCTTGAAGACATCTTAAAGGGACACAGACAACTGGGAAAAGCTAAAACTGTGAAATGTCCTGGCCAGGTACTGAACTAAATTGTTTGCTTCCAAACAGGAATACCTGATGTATTCAAGCATGAGAAGGTGATTTGGGCTATGACCCATTAGGGGGGGAGGGGGAGGGGGAGAGAGAGAAAGAGTCACAACTTTTAAAAGGGCCCACAAAGGTCTTCACACACATGCTTGTGATGCAGAAGTACTGCATGATGAACATGAGTTCAGTTGTACTCCATTATACCTTACGATGATGTTTGCTCTATGATCCTCTTTCTGTGTATTCAATCTGCTGGCCCCATTTTGAGCAGTAGGACATGCATTGATGATGAAAACAGCTAAACACACCCACCCATGTCCTAAATAAGTGAACGTGGGTATGATGAAATTTTTATTTTATTGAGATTTGAATATTATAAATTCCAATCACAAACTATTGGAACGGAAATTTTAAGAACTGTTGACAGTACGTATATATCGAATATAAACAAAAAATTTAAAACCCTATAAGGCGAAATTAGGGTTTACCTTCAAGATCCTTCGAGATTGATCTCGTCTCAGCATGCACGCAGAATCAAACAACAAGCAACTGAAGAACAGCTCGACGAACCTCATAGTCTTCTGTCGTATTTTCCTCAACGTCAGAAATCGAATGCAGTGTGGATTGTCAAAACCTCCAAATTCCTACTCTCTTTCAGTCTCTCTCAAAAACGTAATTAAAAAATAAATGTTAAATTAGAGAGTTTATATATCAATATATAGGGTATGACAGAAACCTTAAAGAGAAATAAGGATCGGGTTTTCAATGGGTTTAGGATTCTTTTGTTTAACCCAAAATAAATATCCTATAGCCCATTAATAATAAGTCAGTCCACTAAAAAATTATTATTAATATCGTAAGTCTTATCTCAAAATTATATTCAGGCTCCTTATTATTATATGTTTAATAATCTCTCACGTTTAAGATTACAGATGTTTATCAATTAAATAAATTACTGACAATTATACTTAATTGAATTTTTTTATTTTTTGAGACCTTACCACTCAATTTATTTGTCATGTCGAATAATTAAATCCACCCGTAGGGTATGACATGGACAAAACTTATGAGTTTCCTCAAAAGGACAACATCAACCCATTTAAATATTAGGATGTGGTTTTCTTTAATATTTAATTTTCACCATATAAATAACATCGTCTCCCAATTCACCAAACTTTTTAACTCAATATGAATCTCACTTTTTTTATGAATCAAAGTGACAAACATTATATGCATGTGGCAATTAAATATTTTGGGATTAAGAACATAAACAATCATAATAATCATGAGGTATTCATTATCTTATTGAATCAGTAAAAAATAATAACTTCAACATGGGTCTGTTCAATACACAAAGTGTACTAGTGCAATAATTCAAGACATCAAACAATCTCTTACAGTCAAGACAGACTATGTCAGAATATTACACTACAATCATACCAATGATGTGTTCAATTCAATCTAGGATTGTGAACATATACTCATATTATACAAGGATCCGATAATCTGATTTTATGTGTATAAGTTGAACTCTACATACTAGATTATCTACAATGTAAAATATAAGACACACATACATGTCATATATTAAATATAATATAAATATTTTGCTCATATAGACTCTTAATAAAATAGAAAGAATAAACTATTATTAATTAATAAAATTAGTTTCACTAAAAAAAAAAATTAGTATGCTGTTGTATCACAAACATAGTTCTTCCACAAAAATGATAATTTTTAAACCACTGATCGGTGGGAATTCTCGGATATTGAGCTGACGAAGCTAAGTCTATACTTAGAGAGTATCATCAACCATGGGCCATAAGCTCAAAAGGCCCATTATGTGTGGTGTGTGTTTGTCTTAGGTGGAGAGAGAGAGAGAGAGAGAGAGAGAGAGAGAGAGAGAGAGAGAGAGAGAGAGGACAGCAAAATGATAAAAGTAAAGTATTGGTCAGATGGACACAAAAGGAAAGACAAGGATATGGGCTTTTCTCTAGATTTCAACAAACCATCTTCATAATTATTGTAGTAGAGAGAGAGAGAGAGAGATAAGGAAAGAAAAAAGTGAGATTGAGATGGGCTCTTGCCTCATGTTGGGCTCTTCTCCAACATGGTTTCAACAGACAAAGAGGGGTGTTGTTGGTGATAAAGGAGTGTGAGATTCAAAAGCAAGGGTGTCGGCTTCTGCTTCTATCACTCACAATCTTTTCCATCTCTTTTCCTGCATTCTTCTTCTCCTTTTCACCACTTTCCATCTCTCTCTCTCTCCCTTGTACCTGCCTCCTCCTTTTATTCCATAATCTTTTGGGAGGATGGAAGGAGATGAAGGGACATCCACAAATGATGAAAACAAAGGAAGGTTTAAGAGAATTTGTGTGTTCTGTGGTAGTAAAGCTGGTTACAAATCTTCATTCAGTGATGCAGCTCTTGAGCTTGGAAAACAGCTGGTAATATGTACCATACAAAGTAATTCCAAAGGACAAATTGTTCATTTGCTCTCCCTCCCTCCCCCCTCTCTCTCTCTGAGCATCATTTTTGGTATTATCTCCTCAGACTTTGACTTGTTGCTCATTCTATAATTGAATTTTTTTTTCTCTCAGGTTGTAAGAAAGATTGATTTGGTTTATGGAGGAGGAAGTGTAGGTTTGATGGGATTAATCTCTCAAACTGTGTTTAATGGAGGTTGCCATGTTCTTGGGTACATAAAAAAAACCTTCGTTTTGATGAATTTTCTACCCTTTCAATTAATTGTCCCAAAGAATATTCACTAATATCTACAACTTTTTGTTTTTTTATTTTTTTTTATAGGGTGATCCCTAAGGCTCTCATGCCACATGAGGTACTGTCTTATCCTAGTCATGAAAACAAGTTAAGAAATAGTTTTAGATGATGCTGATGATATGCTCATATATGCCGTCTGATTGTCTTATCTGTCTACTAACTTAAATTATATATTAAGTCTTTGTCTCCTTTGCTCTTGAAATTATTTGTTTTAAACAAAGGGTTTCGTTCAAATCTTCCTGCAGATATCAGGAGAAACCATTGGAGAGCTGAAAACAGTTGCAGACATGCATCAGAGGAAGTCGGAAATGGCGAAACATGCCGATGCTTTCATCGCTCTTCCCGGTAAGTTTCATGCAGCTAGCAAAACCCTAATTACTTCCACTGTTCTGGTCATAACTCTGTCAATGACTCAATAGTGCTTGTTTAGGTGGTTATGGAACTATGGAAGAACTGTTGGAGATGATTACCTGGTCTCAATTAGGAATACATGAAAAACCAGTAAGACTTTTTTTTTTTGGTTCCAAAATTCAATTTCTGATGTATTTTATATAGTTCACTATAGAGCGGCTTTGTCGCCTCCTCAGGCATGACTTATACAGATACAACTAGACCTTGTCATGTTCAACTTGACACCGTCGCTTCCGGGATAGATACATGTCTCGTGTAAACAACAAGTCTTACTCTACTCGTGGAGACATGTTGGATGAGCAATCATTCTGATACGTCATGATATTGTTTTTTTCGATGTCAAGATATGCACAAAATCTCTCATCATATACCAGTTTTTCTTCTATTTAGCATTTTGCGCTTAACACCGATACCTTTCTGGTGTCCTCGGAGTGATCAGAGAGATGGCTGATACAAAAACCTTGAATTATATTATACGGATAAAACTGCGTACATATCATCCTCCCCATAACCAGAATTGCATGAGGCTGCCCTTTGATATAATTTTGTTTAGGGTTATAATTTAATGGTGAATAGGTTCTGATTTTCTTGGAATCTATGAGCAGGTGGGGTTGTTAAATGTAGATGGGTATTACAACAGCTTACTAGCCCTATTTGACAAGGGAGTAGAGGATGGTTTCATAGATGGTTCAGCAAGAAATATTGTGGTTTCAGCAGATACAGCAGAAGAGTTGATCAAGAAAATGGAGGTATAATATAACTTATATACATATATATATATTATATGTATATATGAGCAAGTTGCTGAATTATTGGTGAGATGACCAATCAGATTTTGCAGAAAAAAGTAAGGAATGATTTGTTTTTGGTTGGTTTTTGGATTGTATATATATTGCAGGAGTATACACCAGTTCATGACAGGGTTGCACCCAGACAAAGTTGGGAAGTGGACCAATTAGTAGAGTCTACTACAACTACAAGTGGGGAAGACCTAAAATCTTGAATCTTAATCAACCATCTGTATATAAATATATTTATATATGTAACTGATTTGTTGGTGTCGTTCCATTTTAATCAAAAGAAAAAGACAGCAAAACGTTGCCCAGTCTCAATCTCTCTCTTCAACTGGTGAAATCCAAAGATCCCATATCATGATCACCCATTTGAATAATCCTATGACATGTATGTTTGCACTCTCTCTCGCTCTCTCTCTCCTTGCAAGTGGGGCAATCCTAAGATCCCTTTTTTTCCTTTCTAGTAGAAAATGGGTACGATAAAGGAGAGTAGTCAGAGACCACCAGCCTTCACTGATGGGATCATAACACCCGCTACTCGTCTTGGAAACAAGTCAAGCTCTAACGTGAACTCTAAAACATAAATCTCCAACCTCAGAGTAAAAAGTTCAACCGATATCCTAACAAATCACCTCACTCAATAGTCTAAGATCCAATTCGTAAACACCCAATTGAATAATTACATGACAGGAAGTAGGTACATGTAAATCAACTGAAAGTAATATCCTTCTCTCTCTTTTCAAGTGGGGAGATCCTGAGATCCCTTATCATAATCATTCACATTTGAATAATTATGTGACATGTATGTTTGTTGTTCCATCTATACAAAGTACTCTCTCTCTCTCTCTCGTTGGCCATTGACCATGTCAAAAAAAGCAATCAATAGGGGAAGTTGGGACAAGGAGGGGTGTGGAAAAGTGAGGGAAAGGATTGATTGTTCTTTGTGTGTGGACTATTATTCTTATTCCTAGATGGTGCACTGCACTGCGGAACTAACAAGAGATTATTCGTCCTTTGCTTTTTTATGAATGTTGTGGTGTGGGGAGATTAGATTCTAATGTGTGGATGGGAGCCTTTGGACTTTGGCTTCATTGTTCACTGAACCCCAGCAGCTTGGACCCTACCATATAATTGACACTTTTGTATGTGTTGATACCTTTTCAACTCTTCTGTCGACTGTATTCGGAGCCACTGTTTTCCTTCTTCCACCAATTAATTGACAGTGCAAGATCAAAAAATTACACTTTGACTCCCTCAACTTTGACAATTTTTTCACATTATTGTCTCAATTATCTTATTTTTTTATATTATACCCTCAATTATGTGATTAATTTCACATCGCCACAATTTTTAACATCCGTTACAAATTTAACAGAAAGTTATTTCATTTTACCTCCTAAGCTATGTGTTTTTGTTTTTAATTTTGTTCAGTCACGTCAGCATTCTCATAAAAAAAAAAATGGTGGATGCATTTGTTTGGGGATATATGAAAAAAAATCATATAGAGAAGAATTTGTGTTAATTTTACCCAGAATTTGTGTTGATATCTTCGAAGTGTTCTCTAGGCAATTGTGTTTGTGCGGTTCACTGCCTTATTTTTGGACTTTCTCATACGCAACTCAATTGCGAAAATGAAAGTATAGAGACAAATGATAAACAATGATGATTAACAAACGAAGAGACCTTTAGGTTCGTTTGATAACATTTATGTTTTTTGTTTTTATTTTGATATTTAGAGAAAATAAGAAAAAAAAAGTCGTTTGATAACCGTTTTTATTTTATTTTTCTATCATCATTTTGTAAACGAGGGGCGATTTTCAAAAACCAAAAAAAGACTTTTTTCGTTTTTAATTCTATTTTTTATTTTTTAAAAAATCAAAAACTGTAAACATTACCAAACAAGCCCTTACTAATCCAGAAGGGTTTCAATTAAAAAAAATTGATAAAATCCTTGATTACTACACTAATTTTATCCTATATCTACTCTAAAAACCATTCACAAATTTTGGATCACAAATTCCATCTCAAATAAGTGTGAACTACAAATTACATATCAAATAAGTGTGAACTACAAATTACATCTCAAATAAGTGTGAACCATTTGAGATAGTTCACACTTATTTGAGATTTAATTTGTGTAGGGTGATCTAGTGGAGTGTCGGTCTTACTCTTCACTTTAAAGTTGAGAATTCAAGTCTTAAAGTTCTCATTGGGACTTGATGGTTAGCCGTTATACTAGCCTAATTAGATCTGGTCCCAAGAGATGTTTTAGACGCAATCAGGGGCCTTACGATCTCACCGGGGAGGACTTATCGGGGTGATCGCTGAACGCCCTTCCTTGCACCTTCCCCCTCATTTTTTTAAGTATCAAAAAAAAAACGTAAGTGTGAACTATAGATTAATGGATTCCATTAAAAAAAATTAACAAAATTTACTGATCCAAGGGTCCACTTGGAATGTAATTTAAGATCCCTTGCATTCCTTCCTCGTAATGCGTAGCGATTGCAAGGTTGAAGTTCGTTCGTGTGTCCTTTCAATTTGTTGTCAACTGCTCATTTATTTTTAATATTTAAATTATACAATATATTACACTAAATATAAGACATATTCATCAATATACAAGTATTAGCAATAATCCCAAACCCGAAAATACTCTACAATATTAAAAACCGAGTATTAATTTATAATTTAAATAACATTTTTTTTACCTTTATTCACTCACATAATTTTAAAATTAAAGTGAACAGAGAGCAAATAAGAGAGAGAAGTGAAAGAAATATAAGAGAGAAGCTAATGTGAATTAATAGAGTTATTTGACATTGAGGAGCGTGTTAATTAAGTTATTTAACATTAAGACCCGTGCCAAGATGTTTCTGAGATAAAAAAATGTTATAAATTTTATAATATTAGATCAATTTTGACCGTTGCTATTTTTTTATAAATTAAACATTCAACTTTTTAAATGTATATTAAATAAATACATACTTCTAGCTAAACAAGTCATTGCTAAAGCTTGGCCTGTTTATTAAACAAGCTTTTAATTTAAGCCAGAGGTCTGCTGGTTCAAGTGATAACAGCGCTAGATTAAAGCTCAAATTCCATAACTTCAGCTCTTGACAGCCTTCGTGTTTGACATAACAATGTTGTCATGATTGAAGATGAGAAAACCTCAAAAATAGTTCAAGTGATAACAGAGACGAATTAAGTTCAAATCTTGGCAATTTCTTAAAGTTAGGTCATGAGTGATTTATCCTGTATGAATATTTTAACCTCGACGTGGATAGTTTGCCTTTGACCAAATTAGAAAGAGAATTAGTTAGAATACACATAAACTAACTCGAATACTCCTAACCGTTGAACCAAAAAAATAAAAAATAAATAAAGGATGAGAAGAGAGATCTATTTTTCATATTAATTTTATCAATCTGCAAGGACTTCCTAAACCAAGTATGCCAAAGGTTTGGAAGCCTAAGGGAAGAGACAGATCTATTTTTGTTAAGACACAGATATATCAGAGTTACTCTTCAGCCTCTAGGTGTGCCAAGGTTTTGTCCCTAAAGGCTCAGGGGGAGTGTCGAAGTCAAGTATGCTATTAGCCATCCGATTCAGAACACCCACAGTAAACATCAAAGAGCGAGCAACCCCAGATACCTTCTTTCATTTTTCTTTTCTTTTCTTTTATTCCTTAAACATAATTTCTCTAATTTTTTTTGTCAACAACATAAAGAGTCATCAGAACATTTGCTCCAGCAAATGCAGACAGCCACAAAGAGAGTCTCAAAGGCTACCACGTAGCAAAAGGATGAAAAAGAGAAGCTGTGGCTATTAAAACATAACCTGAAAGAGTATGAGTGGATAGAAAAGTGAGAGCAGTTTGGAAGATTTATTGAATCTTAAGAGGGACACTAAAAGATGCATTATAGCATAAAGCCAAAACCCAAGGGAACATAAAAACATATTCACAAAGAGCTAGGGAAAGTAAAAGATATTCTTCTATTCCTTTGGTCAAAACCCAAAAGAAAAAAAAAGATTTGGTAAACAAAGCAACAGGAAAAGATAATATTTAGAAATAAAATCGGAGCCAAAACAGCAATTTATTGGTCATGTTCGACAATTGATTTACGACAGTCAAGCTTCTCATAAAGTAGATCTATGGCAGATTAAAGTTTCAGGTCATAATTATTTCTTATTCAAGCAACACTTTCTTTCTATATAGGTTGTTCATGTTCACAAGGACCATTTGACTTTCAGAATTTTGACAACAGCTTCCCTGATGCCAGAGCATAGAACACTTCAGTTCAGGTTGAAGGGCCATTAGAATGGACAGCATTACAGGATGTGACCCGAGGTGTTAAGTCAAGCTTATCAAACTATACAAGTGTTGTTCGGTCTCAAGTTAATCAAACTGTTGGTATTTTTCTTCTTTCAGCAATCAATATAGGGTTTGAACTCTATTTTCACGTAAATATGATTTATTACTAGTTCCAGCAGAAAATGCAGGAGACATACAGAGCTTTTAAGGACTCACTCGGATCAGATGAGAACTTACATAAGCATTTACAGCAAACAAAAGGTCCAGTTTCTTCATGCTCTGGCTGTGCTCAGGTTGATTCTTGCAGGGTTGCCAGTATGGCACCTTGTGCACATGCTGAGTGCATTGTTATGTGACTATTATTTTACCTGTAATGAAAATAAGATTAGAACAAGAACCATAGCAGTTCAGATAATACAACTATATACTATTATACGTATACTATACCAGAGTAGCTTACAACTTTCAAATTTGGAATCCAAAAGTGATTCATTTTTGTCCAGCCTTGTCTTCACAAATGCATATGATCGTAAAAGAAAACATGTTCCTTTTACCAGAAGAGAGTTTCTGGGAAACCTACCAATGAGTTTCTATTCTACCATATTCAGGCAGATCACTTATATTAGCATCATGCATCAAATCCCCTACCAGAGTGATCTACATGGTATACAACTCAACATGTTTTTTTTTTTTTGCTGATTAGAATTTAGCATTGAAAAGGGCTACACAATCTTATAAAAAAAAGGCTAACCATTGGTAACCGAGGCAGGGTAATTAACCATATGGTCTTGGGAAAGAGGCTTCCTTCTCTGATAATATCAGTTGACTGCTCTACTGAAGAAGACAATTGGCACACAACCACCTTCTATCTAACCTGATTCCATAATCTTCTGTACATTCAATATTTTGGCAAGTATGATTCCACATATATGTATAAAATCAGGAAGAATAAACCTCTCATCTTAGACTTCTAGGATCATAATCTATACAACTAAGCACTTCACAGCACACCATGCATATAAACTCATGAAAGTCCCCTCTGACCTGAGACTTCTGGGATCAGAATTTCTACCATCAAGACCTTCAAGAATGGACATTCAATGACAACGTAGGCATGATACAGCAGAAATGCAGTTTCAAAATGTGTGTGTGTGTGTGTGTGTGTGAGAGAGAGAGAGAGAGAGAGAAAGAGAGAGGTTACAAGTTCCAAGTTCAATCATTTTCAAGAATGCACACTTGCAAGTATGGTGAGGGAAGACGAAAAGAAGGCAGCCAAAAACAAACGTTATTCATTTGTTGACAAGATAAATACCTTAGTTTCCAGGAAAGAAAAAGACAAGATACATACCTTAACAGAGTACAGGATAATTACATAGCAGGCAATGAATTTTTGTTTAGTCTATTTCTATAAACTAGCATTTCATTTACAGAATTATTTCATTTATAAACAAAACCTTCTCAGATAAGACTAGCAATCATTTCCTGATTGCAATGATTGCTGCATGTCAACGGATCTCGCAGTATGCCATCTAAAATGGACGACACAGAGCTCACGTCATAACTGTCCAAATCCACTGAAAGATGGTTGCTGGTTGAAGGACCCATGTGTTCCCCATCTTCCACAAATATTAAGTTATCTTGCTCCCCAATAACAGGATCATCACTACTTTTCTGAACACAAGGAGGTTCGATGTTAGATTCTGCCACACCTTTCAAAAGGACTTCAAGAGGGGAATCGGTACTGGATATTTCACTGGATGAAAATTCAACCTCTAGAATAGGAATCTCGAAATCCACCACAGAAGAAGCAGATGCAGATTTGAAAACATTTTGCAACGTCTCTCCGTGAGACCCATCTCCCGCAACACATCCCCTGCTTGCAGCTGCATTTTCCAGGGAAATGTTAATGCTATCCTGCGTCTGACAGAGGGGATCTTGACCATTGCTTCTTTCACAAATTGTGACATTAGTAACTCCATAACTGGCTTCTCTTCCACAAGTTTCCTCTGTAATCAGAGCATCATTGGTTTCTGCCAAGTCGATTTTGACTTGAGGTGGTGGACAGCAGCAACCATTCACCCCTTCATAGAGGTGGCCGTCAAAGGAAACCTCTTCATAATTTCTTATCCTTCCCTCTGCACACTGGGTGGAAACTGCAAATTTGGAAGTTGAAGCAAAACCATGTATGCACTCATTTTCATCAGTTTCACAGGAGTTGGAAGGAACTTCAAGGTTCTCATTCTCAATGATAGGTGGAAGTACTTTCCCATCATTGCAATTCTCACTTACAGATTCAGGGGCTGTAGCGGGGACAGCTTGAGTATATTCTGAAGACACATCATTGCCATCATCATCACTGGTAAATTCAGGAGCTTTAACGGTAAGAGTATGGGTATATGTCGAAGGCTTATTATTGCCAATTTCCTCGTTACTAAATTCATAGGACGTAAATGTGGGAGTTTCAGTAAGTTTCAAAGGCTGGGGAGTGGACATAGACAAGAATCCAGCCAATGCAGCAGCTAAAGCATCATCAATTGACAAAGATGGTTTTGGTTGCTCTAAAAGAGAATCTTTTGATGGTTCCAAGACATCATTGTTTACTTCATCTTCACATGAAAACTCGGGTGCAGTAACTACAAGACTCGGAAGAAACTGTGGAGCATTTGCTGAAACTGACGTGTTATCAGTAGCTAGCTTCTCAGAAGGGAAATCCTTCTGTTCCAATCCTGATGCCCCACAAGGAGGATAATCAGTCCCATCATTGTAGTAGGAGCTGGAATTGGATTCAGTGCATGAAAATGCAGGAGCAGAAAATCTTGTGCCGGTTTGCAATCCAGAAGGCTGAGCATTCTTGGCAAGTAATTCCAGTTGGTGCTCTACCCGCTGGAGCCTTGCCTCCATGCTGTTCATGGGCTTTAGCATGTTTTCTTCAAACCTCAAGCAGAGATCTTCTATTCTGCTCACTCTAGAAACAAGTTGTTCCAAAACTCTTTCAACCTGACCACAGAGAAAATCATTTTTGTCAGCATAATCATCTTTTCTGTCTCGACCTGAAACCTGTGTGGGGCACTGGAATTTATCTGGTTCAGCTGTAGCCTCATTCACTTCTTGCAACTTCATCTCCTGATGTTCCGCTATGCTGAATTTTGTATCCTGGGGAATCTCATTCACAGCATCAGTTGCATCAGTTGCTCTTGATCCAATTTCCGGTTTCTTGTGTTCTTCAATAGTATCCAAAGCATGTTTATCTAGTTTTTGGCTAACACCAGATTTAGATAATTGTAGAAGTGTAGGGACAAGCATGGCCATCAAAGAGCTTCCAGTTGAGTTTCCCACCTGAACTGTCTGGTTCTCTGCATCAGATGACTCAACGGGGTCAGCAAATCCATAAATTTCGTCAACATGTACACACCCTTGTTTCTGAAGTGATAGCAAACGCAGCGTAAGCGCTATACAGGGATCTGCATCAGTAATTTCAGCTGTGGCCTCATAAAAAACCTGAAAAAATCTGAGTCAGTCAAAATCACAATAAAACTAAGAGTTTTCGTAACTTCAAAAATTTTCTCCTCTAAAAATAATAGACCAACATTTTATACAATGGATGATGGTTTCTCGTTTCAAAAAGGATACATCCCCAGACAGAAATTGGCGAAAACAGGATTAGGCAACCGACCTAAATTAATAGAGGGAAGAAGAATTTGTTGAGGGCATACAATCAAATGGCGACCCCTAAGGGTTTGGAAGGATATGGTTATCACTACTGCAATCATGTAATGTGATATTTCAAATGACAAGGGCACCAATGAAGAGGACACCCACAATGCAAGGTCCAAACTAACAACGAAGACCTACAATCAATAAGGACAACCCCTCTCCATCAATCCTCCCCAACATGCGAAGTGACCAATAAAATCACACCAGGCAGCCATTAGAGCGAATTGGGGACCTGTCATGTGATTGGCGCCATTTACCACATAATGCAGCCCTCCGACAATACTTCTAAGCAATATTTAGGAGACACAGAGCTCAATGATCTGAAATATACGGTAAAGTTGATGGCTATGTACACCAAAAAGTAATTGGTGTTAGCTATGCTTCATCGATTTACTAAGCATAGTTCAGAACTTCAGATAGCAAACATCTATCTTATTTGCACTTTGGATACACGTACAATCATCAAAGGGCTATGATGCAGATATTTTGAAATCAACAACTTAAACAGTCAATAACCTCACAGTTAAAAGCAGAAAGAAAATCAATTTTACCTGTGAATCACTGTATAAAAAAATTATGGAAGCATATCATTATTTCTTTTTTCTTTTATTGAAGTTCACATTGCAATAATTTTTGTTTTTGGCAAAGACTGCTGAGTAATATGGGCAGACACCATTAAGCACAGAATGCAGAAAATATGACTCAATAGACAAAAGCCATTCCATGTGAAAAAGCACATCAAAAATGGTGCACAAGTGAGAAGAAATTGCAGGAATTGTACACCACGGATGAGGGGAGACACAATTGTTATGGACTGACATGGACCAACAATGAAGCATTGTACCTGAATGCTTCTTCCTTTGTAGTCATTGGTCTTGTTTGGCAAAGAATTGATTCCATTTTCAAGCAGAGAAGAATCGGGGACTTTAACCTCTACCCAATCATCTTCATTGGTGCCAATGTCACCCTCACCTGTGGATTTCTCTTCAGCAAGTTCATCACTAGATCCCTTCAGATATGCAGGAGCAGCGTTTTCAGTAGCAATTGCATAAAGTAATTTTTCATCTCTAGCGGCCGCACCACAGCGAACGGTGCAGAGATACTTGTCACCACCCCACAGAGGTGGCGTGTAGTAAATTTCATAGACACGAGCAGTACTACGAACATAAATCTGCCGAATCTCATGCTTTTGTGTAAAACATACTGCAGTCCAAAAACTTATGGTCAACCAGAGGGAATCATTTAAGGTTCTTAATCTTATCTTTTAACTCAGGGAGACAGGAAACTAATAATAATTTAAGAGGAAAAAAATACAGTTGCACCAAAACAACTGCATCAAGGACTTACGCAAGGAGGAGGAGAATAAAAAAAAAAGGAGAAAGATGGATTGAGACAATGATTTATTAATTATTATCAACATTTAAATGACCTCTTTGATAGTCTACCGAGTAAAATAAATGGATATCTGAAATACACCGGTTATTGGATTTGTTCAAGTTAAACAAATTGAAAATATACTTCAGATATCCCCACAGAAACGAAAAAGGCCCACTAGGTACAACTAAACCACACGTACAAATGGCTTAAATGGGGATGAGAATTTTTCAACACAACATGTTATTACCACTCACACTCACCAAAAAGTTAATAGGTTTGAACTGAGGCCAATTGTGTTCATGTAGAAAACAGGTAAATATAGTTAAACCATTTATTAAACAAGTCAGGTTTTGGTTTTTAACACCCACTTGGTGTGTTAATAACATGAACACAACATAAATACCACATGTAACACAAATATAACCTGTGGAACCCGCCCAACACATTATTTCTTGTCATGTAGTGATCTATACGTAATTGCTCACATGATCTATGAAACCTGTCTACCCTGTTAATCTGCTTAACCCAAAATGAGCTATTTAATAAACGGATTGCATAGGTCATGTTGTTCAGCCTGTGTTATAAACATGTCGAGTTCGGATTAGAAATTTGACACACTAATGGTGGTATTCAAGTTGAGCCATTTACTGGATTACCTACATTGCAACATGACAGGAACCCTCTTGACACATCCTGATTGCCAACCCTAGCCCCAGCAAATATTTGAATTTTGAACCCATCACCAACCTAAAAAACAGTGGTCCACAATGCCCATGAAAGTTATATCTCCCAAATCAAAAACCCAGCAAATATTTTCTTTTTGAGGTAGAATGCATTTGAATTTCTAATCACTGATCCTCAGCCTACCCTTTAATTCTTTTCAAGAACTCCTTCGTCTTTGTTTATAAAGATCTAAATATCATGTTCATTAAATCGTATTATCAGGTTTCAAGAGAACATCCATATTATTATTTTTAATTAAAACTTGGAAACCAGTCAATAGTAGCTCTGAGTATGCGGTTAGCTTATAGTTCAAGAACCTTTTCCAGTTGGCTGTATACATTATTTCATTCAGCTCAATATTCAAAACTTCAGCTAACATTCAGACTACATAATAAAAGAACTGTTAGGTCTACAATGCCTATAATTCGACAATCTAAATTATTGCATGCTAATTATGAATCTTTGGGCACAATCAACGACCTTAGAAAGCCAAGAAAATTTGTTTCTCCACCTCGCCGTGTCTGTGCGCGAGTGTATTTTGGTGTGTTTCAATATGCACATTTATATATCAAACAACCTACACATTAATTCATTTACATTAAATTAGACTACACAAGATAAGGCCAGAACAATACAAAAACCCTAGTTCCCAAAGACAAATTATTTTCAAGAAAATTAATTAATTACCAAGGATTCCTTCGGATTCACTCATTCGATAGTTCTTTTTTATTCAACAGACTCACTCGATAGTTCAATAACCCATAAATCAATTTAACATCAAAAAAAAAAAAACAGAGAAATTCTTGGCATCTATAAACACACTCAATAACAAAAATCATAATCTATGACCATTAACTTGAAATTGTTCGTTCACTCGATGGTTCAGTAACCCATAATAAACTTAACAAACAAAAAAATAAAAAAAAATCTTGAAATTCTTGGCATCTATATATACACTCACACACACATGTATGTGTGTGTAAACAACACAAATCAAAATTTACGACCATAAACGCATAGAATCAAACAATAACTGGAGAGATCCGAACTCACTCTTGATCTCGCAAGGGCCAGAATCAGGTGATGGTGATCTCAGGACAAGAGGCGATTTCCAAGTAGATCCAACGGTTTCGGAGTCGGTCGCATAATCGGAGGAGGACTCGAAGGTTATTGCAGTGTCGAGGTCTCCATGAGAGACTGTCCAGTTCGTCGCAGAGCTCCATGGAAGAGTGTTGGTGTTGTGAGTTTGCGTTTCCATTGTTTTTGAGATTTCGCTGTTATTGCTTTCTCGCATTTATAGAAGTGTTTTCTCTGCTGGGCTGTTGACGCTTCGCAGTGAAAAATTAAGCAACGTTGCGTACTGCGCACGGTGAACTAGCGTAGATTTCTAATTATAATTAAATTTTGGCTAATTTATAATTAATACTCCAGAAGTTTCAATTTAAATACTTATATTCTTAAAAGTTTTAACCGAGTTTTAATTCAATCATTTCATCAAAATCTATTTAATTTGTAATTTGTAATTTTTAATCTATTAATTTGTAAAATCGTGCAAAAAGCCTCTCTTAACCCTCCATTTCTCGTATATTTTTGTAAAAGTCTCTCACCTTTCGAAATTCAATTAATCATCAAGTAATTCAAATTTTCTTGGTTGTCCGCTTTGATTTGACTTCTTTTTAACAAATTTGATATGTATTTCATGCCTACATTTATGTGAAATTTGACTTTTTATCTTTTGATCCAGTAGTGTAAAAGGTAAGAGATGCAAGTAGAAGAGTTGACCTTCCATTTCTATTTTTTTTTCTCAATTCGATTACAGTCTCGAATATCCTTCTTAATCGAGGATCCCCATTAGCATTTAGTGCTAATTAGTAGCCGCTTTTGTTGCGGAGCTCACTTCTTTTCAGTTTGATACGAGTAGATACTTGCAACTTGCTACTTTTTATTTAATCGGAGCTCGCAGCCTACTCCACAAGTCATCACAACTTCGCCTACGCCACTTATGTATAGACAATAATAGTGTCCAAGATCTTCGCTTCATGTAACTCATTGAACCTTCAAACTTCACTCTGTGATCTGTGCAAAAGAAGTATGTCATAACTAATTCATTTGAATTATTTTTCTTTAAATTGGTTGATTTTTCTTTAGATCAATACTTTGGGG